TTTTCCCCTCCATGTTGACATGATGCGACACTGTGATGACATTGTCTCGATAGCCTTTGCTGAACGACTCGGAGGAAAGCCTGGATATAATCTGCTACTAGCTGCTGTTAAGAGCTCACTTCTCTTTACATTTGTAAATGGAGCAACATCCTATGCACCATATTGTGTTCTGCTTTTACATAGTCATTACACAGCTGGCCATTTTCACCAGTGTATGAAACAGACACTGTACAGCACACCTTTAAAAAACAGCAATAGAAATTTTTCAAGTGACACAAAACGAGAAATGGACCATATTGATGTTTTGAAAGGATTTAGGTCTGGTTCAAATGTTGATTCTGTGACGTGTAGAATGTCTTTGATAGATTCCCTCAACGAAACAAGACAAAACACTGATTCAAAACTACAGCAGAGTCAGGATAACGACAAACTCGGCATGGATGTGTCAGAAGTTGACCTAAACCACATATATCCTGTAACTTCCTTGATACTGAGAAGAAGCGCTTTGTCTCTTGAAGAATCACCAACACCATGTAATATCTACACCAAGGTTCCACTGTTACTACCACCAACAATACTTGATTCGGCAAGCAATGATGTCGGCAGATATCTTTTGGAAAGGTATTTACGAAATTAGAAACTTATAAAATTGGATGTTTCAAGTAGTGAAACATATGATATACAAGGTCCTAAAGACCTTGTGAATCGAGCCAAGAGAAGCAAAGGTGTTACAATCAAACGTACACAAAAGTCAAAAGTTGTTACAGCCAAATCAGAAAGGCAAGCAAAAGAAGAAAGAAGACAAAAGGAAGTAGAGAAAAAGACAAAATTAATAGATGCCTTCTCCTCGGAAAACAACGCCTGCCAGGCTCTGCTGAAACCGGACAGTTCAAAACCGAAGGTGTCAAAGTCTCTCAGCATTCAAAGAGCACTGAAAAGTTTAATTACGTCATGTTCTACAACAGTCCAACTGGATCAGTATATAGCACTGAACTTACCGTATATACCGAAGTCAATCACAAATGCAATGAAAATATGCACTATAGAATTTGCAGGTATGAAATTCAAAGTTGGTAACATCAAATCAGGTCAAGAATATTTGGTAATTGTTGAGAAAATGTTGACTGGATTATCTAAACAGTCAATTGTTTCAACGATTGTTGTGTGTGAGGAAAAATACAGCTTCACACCGGACGATTTCAAAGCAAACACCCGTGAGCAACGGAGGAGCAAGTCAGAAAAAGATGTAAGACATTTGAAAACTAGTGAACATATTCTCAGTGATGTTGTGTATGACAAGGATGTAATTACCAAAACTGAAACAGGCAAAAGACTGGTTAGTACATACCTTGCTAGAAATATAGGAAACTTGAGAATGAACAAAGATGTCGGAATAATAGTGGACAGTGAATTAATTGTCAATAAAACCTGTATATGCAGTCAAAGTTGTGAGTGTCCAGGGGATTACAGTGTACCAATCATTTGTAAATTTAGTGCTGACAATGAGGACCGCTGCGTTTCTGAAATGAGAAACATTAAACAAAGAAAGGGTGAAGCCGAGATGTCTGTTGCAGATTGGCTTATTCATTCTCAAAGTGAGATGAACACAGGAGATACTGCCGTGTGTTATGTTACGTCTGCTGACATTGACGCTGTGTATATACATTTATATGGTGTCTTATATGGTGTCAGCAAATTTTGGCCAAGACATGACGATGGCACATACAAAAACGACATGTTTGCTGTCTTACAGAAGACTGGGGTAAGGTTGACACATACAACATAACAGGAATGTTGTCACTGTTTGAGCACAGGTACAATGATCAATACATTGGTATGAAAATAGCATTTACTTTATGCCTAGGTGGAAATGACTTCATACCAAAGTTCCATGCCATATCCCATGAAACTGTATTGAAATATGATTGACAACGCCAATTTAAGAAATAATTTGTACAAAGCGGTTGAAGGGAAATGTGTCCTTAATAAAGAACTGTTCATCGAGTTGTTAAAAAACCTCTACACTCCAAAACGACTTCAAAATTCAAATGTTTCCTTCGATGATATTCGAGCTATCACCATTGGTAAAAAGGAAGACGCCAGTCAAAAGGCAGGTTTTAAAACGGCTAATCCAAAGAAATGGCTCCCACCACAGTCATCAATTGAAAGACTCGCTGAACTTATGCAGTTACAAATTTCGTATATGGAAACAGTTGGAAGTCATAGCAGTGTGCTACCCAACTTTGTTGAAAGTGGAGTTTTGAAAAGGAACTCATGTGGTGAAGTTGAGTATGACTTTGGGCCTGAAGCACACTTTGTGTCTCTCTGTGACCTCCCAAATATTAAACAGAAGAAATCAAAACGTCAGCTTGATGACACACCACAACACGGTGAACGTAGAAAGAGACCACTTACATCAACCCCAAGGTCAAAATAAAAACATCTATAAAACAAATTGATTTTTTTTAATTTCTCTGTATGCTTTACTCAAATGCAGTTATTTTTGTTTCCTGGTTTTGGGATTCATTTTTTCATGACAAATTAAATTCTTCAAAAAGGTTAAAAATGTAAGAATGTGAGTCACGGAAAATAATCTCGGTTTTACAAAAATGCTATTTAATATAGCATACTTTCAGTTCTTTGAATTATCTTGCTAGGTTATTTGTGTGGTGGTTTAAGCTGCTATTAATAACAAGCTTAATATTTATTGATGATGTACATGTATTTATTATAAATTCATGATTTTCACACAGGTTGCGAAAATAGTTTTATTTTTTCAAAGAAGAATCAATCAGGTACTTGCAAACTCTTCAGACATAGACAGTAATATTTGTTTTACTACATTTGTTTGGAATGCGGCATGCAGTACTACTGATTTATTTATTTGTTATATCAGTTTCCTTAACTGCATCTTTGTTTACTTAATATTCTAAACTGTAAAATACCTACAACTTTCTGTATTAAATCATGCATGTATTTTAAAACTGTAAAACTTAATGTTACACTATGACAGTTAATGGCTTTGTTATTATATTTGTAATCAGTTGTTTAATCTATATAAAACATATTTCACAGAATCAACATTATTTTCATTACTAAGACCTTATCTAATGTTGAGGTGAAATCAATCCACACTGACCACTGGTAAATGGCCATATTGTTTCTGATAAGAGTTGTATCGATAATGCACCATGGACAGTTTATAGTTCACGCCAGGGTTATAATAAGATATCCTGCAGAGCAGTAATTTAGATAAACAGTTACCTTCTACTAGGGAATTTCTGGCAAATGTGGGCCTATATTACAGAGTGTCTCCTCAAGATACACAACAATATGTCAGTGAACTAAGGACCAAAATAGAGGAATGTTTCCAAATCACAAGAAATCATCTCCAAACCACTTCATTAAGGCAAAAGCGTGATTACGATAGCCGCATCACCCAGAAAAAAAGTTTAAAGTAGGAGACCTTGTATACAAAAGACAGGCAAAATTGAAAAAAAAACTACAAATGCCTTGGGATGGACCATTTTTAGTCATCAAATTGTGTTTATCTTATTCAAAACAAATCAAAAACAGTTGCAGTACATCATGATAGACTTAAAATATGCCAGCTTGATAACAGCCAGATTCCAAAATGTACAAAACAAGTTTTTGTTAAATTAAAGCAAAAGGGGGTGTAATGAAAAGAAGAAAAAAGAGCAGTTCCAAACAGGAAAATAAAATTAATATTAAAACAAACATTAAGAAAAAGAGAAATAAAACAAAGAAAAAACAAAAACATTTGTATTCATCTCTATATCTATATACAATATATAAACTATTAATTATGGTAATAAAATAATAAGACAGAAGAAATAAAGTAATAGCTAAATCTAGAATACCGTATAAGTACTTTTTTTCTGCGGGAACTTTATTTCTGCTATTTCTGCGGTTTATAACGACACCGCAGATTTAAAAACCGCAGAAAATTAAGCCTTTTGCTATGTCTACATGTATGTCGGAATATGTCAACTACCTGTATTGTATAATTACATTACCATGTACCGTTATCAGCTTTTGTAGATGGGAATAATTTTTCTTTATGTACCCGTCTTGAATGAAATATTAGAACAAAAAGTTACTTTACTTGTTCTTTTTGTTTAAAAAAAATATCATGTTTGTATGATTTTCGCTCACCCTAAGCTTGATTTATTTTAAAAATAAAACTATTATAGTTTGACGGTTGCAATAAACATACCCTTTTGTATTTGAACAATATATTGTGTCTACATGCGATACTACCATTGCTTATTTTTCACACTTTTGACATATTTATACACATGCAGTATTACAATTAATTGTTGTCATTGCACGTTGTTGATTTTTGTTTATTTACGTTTTGTTTATTGCGTTCATTGAATGCCGACTTTCCTTGTTGATCTTGTTTGTCATATTTTATATACCGATACATGGTGATCACGATGAACACACATTATAAGTCGTCTGCATGTTTACCGGAAGTAATGTACATGTAACATCAACATATCTTGAAATGTTGTCTGTTTGTATCGGTTAATTTTGTAAAAATATCTAAATTAAAACGCAGAAATAAAAAACATCAATGCGAGAATGATGACACCGCAGAAATATGATACGCAGAAATTTAAAACCCCTTATTTTAACCAAAATCGCAGATTTTTCAGCCCACAGAAATAAGTACTTATACAGTAAATGAAATAAAAATAAAAATTTAAACAAGAGCTGTCGGTAGGACAGCAACGCTGGACTATTCTTAGTGCTTGATAGTAAAAAAAATGCTTGATACAGTTACCTCCTCCTGTTTACAGGTTGGGGTCATGATGGTGAACAAGTGTGCAAAGTTTGAAAGCCATATGTCAATGGACTTTGAAAATATTTGAACTATTACAAAAACTTTAACATAAATTCTAAGTCGAAAAAGGGGCATAATTCTGTCAAAATGCTTGATAGAGTTACCTCATCCTGTCTACATGTTGGGGTCATGATGGTGAACAAGTGTGCAAAGTTTCAAAGCCATATGTCAATGGACTTTGAAAATATTTGAACTATTACAAAAACTTTAACATAAATTCTAAGTCAAAAAAGGGGCATAATTCTGTCAAAATGCTTGATAGAGTTACCTCCTCCTGTCTACATGTTGGGGTTATGATGGTGAACAAGTGTGCAAAGTTTGAAAGCCATATGTCAATGGACTTTGAAAATATTTGAACTATTACAAAAACTTTAACGTAAATTCTAAGTCGAAAAGGGGGCATAATTCTGTCAAAATGCTTGATAGAGTTACCTCCTCCTGTCTACAGGTTGGGGTCATGATGGTGAACAAGTGTGCAAAGTTTCAAAGCCATATGTCAATGACCTTTGAAAATATTTGAACTATTACAAAAACTTAAACGTAAATTCTAAGTCGAAAAGGGGGCATAATTCTGTCAAAATGCTTGATAGAGTTACCTCTACCTGTCTACAGGTTGGGGTCATGATGGTGAACAAGTGTGCAAAGTTTCAAAGCCATATGTCAATGGACTTTGAAAATATTTGAACTATTACAAAAACTTTAACATAAGTGGTTACGCCGACTCAGACGCAGACGCCGACGCTCGGGTGACTACAATAGCTCTACTTATTCTTATCGAATAGTCGAGCTAAAAAAGGGAGATATATATATATATGTTTGTATGTATGCGCATCTTTAATTACAGACACATTATGCCTTCCAATCTGAATGAGAGGTTTTTGCTGCTGGAGATCTGGCACTCCATCTCACGAGCTTGTGACCAGTACAGTATCTTGTCCAAGCAGTACAAGCAGCTCAGATTTAGAAGAAGCATGGCCAAGAGAAGACGCAACAGGGCACTCTTCACCTCCTTGACTATCAGAAAGGGATGTCTTAAAGAGGTTATGGTTGCTTATTATATCTACATTCTCCAGAAAACCAAATTCTACATGCGTATCCGTGGAGGAGAACAATAGGAACTAGATGCTCTGATGGCAAGGATATCAACCAGGAGTAGCACGCTGACTACCTTTAATTAAATGATAGGAAGTAAACTGCACTAGTCAAATTCTAAATTATAATAAAGGGTTTCCCAAAAAGGGGGACATTTCCAAAAAATTTATGGGAAACATTTCCCCTCAAATATAGCTGGGAAACCCTCAGTTTAGAATTTCAGTTTTATTTTTATATTTAGCTTTTT